GATACCTTCCATGTGTCTCAGTTGAGGAAGTGTATACCAGATGAGTCAGCAGTAGTGCCGCTGGAGGACATTCAGGTAGATGCGAGGTTGAATTATGTTGAGAAACCGATCGCGATTTTGGATCGGAAGATCAAGGTTTTGAGGAACAAGGAGGTGCCCCTGGTTCAGGTCCAGTGGCAACATCGGAGAGGGTCCGAGCTGACTTGGGAGCCGGAGTTGGAGATGCGGGAGCAACATCCAGAGTTGTTGGCGGGACAAGACTTCGAGGGCGAAGTCTGATTCTAGTGGGGGAGAATTGTAACATCCGGATTCCCAGGTATCTTATTTTAGTTATTTATTTTGGGTTTTATGGAGGGACTCGGCGAGTAGACGCTCAGACTCGCCGAGTAGGATCGCGAGTTCTTGACTGGATTAATGATCGGACTCGACGAGTAGATACGTGGACTCGGCGAGTCTGCGCTGTAAAGTGAAACCCTAAATCCCCGGGCCTGTGCCCTATTTAAAGGCCTTTATGGCCTCCATTTGCGGCCAATGCACCCCAGAGAAACCCTAGAGAGAGCAGTGAGAGAGTTGAGAGCAAGAAGAGGCTAATACATCACTTTTGGGTTAGTTTTGCTAGAAGGAAGAAGGAAACACCCATCTAGAGCATGAAGGGAGCTTGGATCTGGGCTAATCATCTTGAGAGTTCATCTCTGGAGGTATAATCCCTTCTATTTCGTGTTGATATGATAGATTTTAGGGTTTTAGGGTTTTTACCTCCATTTTATGTAAGATCTAGTAAGTATGAGGCCCCCTTTGTGTTAATAGCATCAGATCTGGACCATGAGAGGTCCATAGAGTCACTATCCCTCAGCTTTATGCAAGCAAATGAAAGATTGGGGACTAGGTTGCCATTTTTAGAGTTATTTCTCCATTTATGACTTGTTGTGGGTTGCATGCACGTAAAGGTTGCACCTTTACGTGACATTTGAACATTTGAAGGGTAGATATGATAGTTAGGAAAGCAGATCTGACCTTAGGAGGTCATTTGAGGATGAACATGGAGGCAACTCGCCGAGTCCATAAGTGGACTCGACGAGTCGAGTCGGGGTTGCCCCGCGATTCGTGACAGGTGTGACCCGTCGAGTGGAAGGATGACTCGACGAGCCAAGAGAGGCTGAAAGGATTCAGAGGACCCGCATGGACTCGCCGAGTCGCCCTTGTGCACTCGACGAGTCGGGTCAAAGTTGACCGTTGACTTTAGGGTTCTGGTCAAGACTGATTCAGGAGAGTTCAGTGAAGGGTAGAATGGCCTTCTACCCAATCTGTAGAGATGAGATCATGAGTGAATATTGATCGGGGATGTTATCTGAATAATAGGAGGAGGCTAAGTCGGGACGTTGAGCACGAGAGTTTATCCGATTTCATTGAGGTGAGTCTTCTCACTATACATTACCTAGAGTGGTATTTATGTGTAGACAGAGGGTCTTGTATGCTATGTGTATATATATGAGTTATGTGCATTGTGTTGTATGTATGCTATGTGTTGAACAGACCGGGCCGGAGGGCCCAACGATATAGACCGGACCGAAGGGTCCAACGACACAGACTGGACCGAAGGGTCCGACGAGCTATGACCGGACCAGAGGGTCCAACGAGCTACGGGACTGGAGGGTCCCGCTGAGACACATCGACCGGAGGGTCGTATTGTAGCCTCGAGTGGCGTATGTGTTGCATGTGGTATTTTGGGGAACTCACTAAGCATTTATGCTTACAGTTGTTGTGTTATGTGTTTCAGGTACTAGCGAGGATCGCGGGAAGGCGCCGGCATGATCAGTACACACTGAGAGGATTTATGTATTTCAGGATCTTGGGATTTGTTTATTGAGATAACATGTGTTACATTGGATTACTATGATATTTTATGAATGAGAGTATGTTTTTAAAATAAAAAATTGTTTTGGAAATTTACGTTGTTACAACGTACGCATGGCATACTCCGAAGGCCAATATTACAACAATGCCACTAGGGCTCCTTTTGCACACTTTTTTGAACTTAGGGTCCAAAATGCACATAATGACATTATAGGGTTGAAATTAGAAGTACCTTAACATCAGAATGTTACATTAGTAGTCTAATGAAGTCATCACAAATCGGGAAATCAAGAAACAGAATCTTGGACCATGAGATTTATTCTAACCTATGTCTCGTGTCCATACGATATCAGGAAGAATGAAAGGATAGATTATCACTTATCTTAGGTCCAACGTCTGATTTGATCAGAGATTGGCATTGTATTTGGAAAACACACTTTACTGGTTATTCTGAGTTATATTGGCAATTGTAGTTAGCGACTTATCCAAGTGGGAGACTACTATTAAGTGTCTAAGGTTTTAACTAAATTGGTATAATATTAAAGAATAAAAGTAAAGTCCTTTTGGGGCTGCCCTCATAACGAATAAATAGCTTGGATTGGAAATAAGAGAGAGAGAGAGAGAGAGAGAGAGAGAGAGATAAAATGATTTATTAATATATTATATGCTCAATATATTAATTGGAAATAGTAATAATTAATTAAGATTTAATCAGAATTAATTTGGAATTAATTATGGGTTAATTAGAATTAATTGGAGGTACAAGGACTGTACTGTAATTGTCCCATAATTGAGCAAAAGAGAGAATCTAGAACCTTCCTAGGGGTTGACGGTTCTGAGAGCCATCTTTAGGATTTTTGAAAGCCTCCTAGTCAAATAAGAACACATGATTTGAATAGGAATTAAATACTATTATTTTATTATTCAAATTTAGGTTCTATAGGTTATTTGGCAAGTATAAATAGGGGTGTCCCCTAGCCAAATTCGGCCACTACCTTTCATACGTCAAGAAATCTGATTTTCTCCTCTCCCATATCTCCTATATTCGATCATAGGGTTTCCTAGGGTTTTGGGTGTAACGCATTAGAGGCTATCACACTATTGGAGCTAGGTTTTCCAAGAATACTTTGAGGGTTTGATTAGCTTAATTCGAGTTAAGATAAGGTATGTTTCCTATCTATGATTTTCGATGATCATAAGGTTTTAGTTTTGTTTCATCAAGTATGTTGCTATTAATAGTGAAAAGTCACAGAATGTTTTAGGTTGCATGTACCCATAAATGTTATGTGAACTTCTACAAGTACATTGTTATTGTAACCTAAAAACCTCAATAGGTTTAACCCATGGATGACTAGTTATTTTGAATGTTGTTTATGAACTTGTGGTTGAAGTTTATGGAAGTATTTTCTAGTTAAACATCTTTTTATGTTTATTTGTCTTTAATCATGAGTTTTGGATGAATGAATGTTTAATTAGTTAGCTAATTTCTTAGTTAAGTACTAGATCTTCAAATTAGCAAACAAACAAATGGTTTATGTGTTTTTTTTCATTTTACTAAATCATGAAAGTATTTTCTCCAAAATGGTAATGGAAGAATTTTGATTACCTTTTGGACTTGGTGACTCTTAAAACCTAATGCTAATTGATTTTCACAAATTACATGCTTCATTAATTTTATTACATTGATTAAGGAAATGTGTTATGAGCTTCTCTATCCATTTTAATAACAAAGAAGAGTTGAGGTAATTTATGCTTATAAATCACTATGGCCAAGTTAAATTGAATCACTAGTATTGCACCATAACATCTAATGATAAATTAACTAGACATTCACGTGGTGAAGGCCAATGCCAACCATCTTTCTCTCATTGATTTGAATCAAACTCTTTACTTGTTCATTTGCAATTTTCAAGTCTTCGTATAATTTTAGTTTCTTCAAAACAACCAAAAGATTAAAACCTCCATTTTTATTTTTATTTTTCATTTCACAAGTAATTGTATAAAAAGATTTTCATCGGGTTATAAATTGAACAAATCTCCGTGGATTTAATCCCATTGTCATTATGCATTATCTTGTGTGCAATTTTCTAGGTTTATTTATTTTTTGGTCTCAACGACCATAATGAGGATTGAACTATTTAATATCTATTTACTAGGCTGCAAGGTTAGGAGGAAAACTCTAACTCATCAAAACAACAATGCCTAGTTTTGTTAGTTTGTACCCATAGATATGTCACCAAAATAATATGATATCAATATATATAATATAATAACTTAAAGTGATTAAAAATTAGTAACTTGTTCGTATATATTTTTATATTGTAATTATTTTGCGGTTAAAGAGTATAAAAAAGAATTCTAGGAAAAATATGGTAAATATCAAAAAGGATAATTTAGTAATTTCAACGTTGAGTTATGTTATGTCCTAGTCTTGCCAAACACAATATAAACATGTTGTCTAATCCCATATCTTCCGGTTCATTTCTATGCACCAAACACTATTGGGCTGTAAACAAACCGAACGTTCTGTGAACCGTTCGGCAGCAAGTTCGTTTATGTTCGTGTATTTAATAAATGAATAAACATTAACACAAATTCATGTTCATTTAGTTTAATGAACAAACATAAACAATGATCCCGTTCATTTATTTATGTTGTTTGTTTATGTTTATTTATGATCATATATGTTCAATAGTTTTTTATTATATTGCTATATTATATGTTCGTTTATGTTCACATATGTTCCATTAATTATGTTTGTTTATATTCGTTCGTTTATGTTCATTTATTTATGTTTGTTTATATGTTCACGAACATGAAAAAGATAATTTGTTAAATGAACGAATATAAACAAGAAAACTCGTTTGTTTATCCGTTTGTGTTTCTTTATTTGTTCGGTAACTTAACGAATATGTAGAAACCATGTTTTTTAATGTTTTTGTTCTTGTTACATCTTTATTCGTACATTTTTATAAACGAGATTGGAAAGTTTAAATATTACAATTATAGAAAACTATATTTAATATTGATAAACACTATTTCATTTTCACCATCGTGAACTGGTTGGTTCCTCACTTTCATCTACGTTAGTTCCATCCTTAAATTCCCAAACATTATCCTTTCCTTTTCCTTCCCAGTTTCATCTCTCCCTATCAAAAGAAAAAACCCCTCTTTCTTTTCTCACTACATTTTCCCTTCCTTCCTATTCTGCAAAACCAATCCTACTCCTACTGTATACTCTCACTGTCCAGAATACCATGCAAAGATTAATGCAATCATAAGTCACTCAACCAGCATATAATCAGAACTACATCCCCTTTCACTGACACCCACTCTTTATCCATCTAAATGTTTCTGAGCTCAAATTTTTCTCCAATGACAACTAATGAAGCTACAGCTTTCCCAGATCTATCCTTACAGATCAGTCCTCCATTTGCAGCGGATGAGTATAACATGACAGGTTGTATCATCAAAAGGCCACCCTCCACGTCAAGCAGCAGCAGCGATTTAAGCCAAGAAAACACCTTCAACCATCACCACTACCAACAGCTTATAGCAGCAGATATGGATGGTTTTGTTAACCATGGTTTGCAGTTTGATCAGCAGCAGCCTCAGCTGACCTTGGGGCTTGAGATGGGAGCTTTGAATCATTGTCATCCCAACCACCATTATCATCCACGTGGACCACGTCAAATCAACTCCCACTATTTCAAGAGAAGCTCGAGGATGGTTAACAGTGTCAGAAGGGGCGCTAGAGCTCCTCGTATGAGATGGACCTCGTCCTTACACGCCCACTTCATACATGCCGTTCAGCTCCTTGGTGGTCATGAAAGTATGTTGTAGTTTCAAATGTGTTACACTTTTTAAAAATTTAAAACTTTCTACTGATCCTTCTATATCACAATCATGATTAATTACTCAACTAGTTCCCGTAGCAATTTGTTCTAACTTCTTTAGGGTTTGTGGCAGGAGCAACCCCAAAATCAGTGCAAGAGTTGATGAATGTGAAGGATCTAACCCTAGCTCATGTGAAGAGTCACTTGCAGGTGCCTATCATTGTACTCAAAACAGTCCCACTTATTTTGAATTTAGGAACCTTATGATTATCATTACTCTCTCTCTCTCTCTCTCTCGATCGCTCTCTTCTCTCTCTTCTCTCTTCTCTATCTCTCATCTCCTATCTCTCTCTCTCTCTCTCTATCTCTCTCGCTCTATCTCTCTCTCTCTCTCTCTTTTGTGTGTATATATATATATATATATATATATATATATATATATATATATATATATATATATATTTATCACAAATATAGAGGGACATGAAGGTCAAATGTGATATCTTAAAGATAAAAAGATCTATGGAAGCTAGGTCACAGGTTAAGTCTGTAGTCTCATCGTTTTCCCTTTGCACATCAATAACAGAAAGTAATAGAAATGGTGAGACAAGGAAACACAACCCGGAAAACTTGGTGTGGGATAGGGTGGGGTGGGGTGGGGTGGGGAAGTAGAGAACAAGGGGGTAGGACAAAATGGCATCTAGGAAAAAGTGTAAACTTAGCAAATGTAGACTTTGTGTTAATAATTACTCACGTCATCATCACTTTCTTCTTTTTTTGATGTGGGGTATATTGATTGATCAGATGTACAGGACAGTGAAGAGCACTGACAGAGGAGGAGCAGGTACTAGATTTGGATCTTTCTTTTTTCCCCTTGCATCCTAATTTTTACCGTGTTTGATAGGGCCAAACAATATTAATGCGGTGGTGATGTACACATGCATGATTGTATATGAATTCATGTCTTGCAGTTGCACTGACAGATACTCAAGTAATTAATCCAAGGGCTCCAATCTCATTGTTTGAAGTAGAGGGAGATATATCACCATCTACTACACTGAATATATCTCAAAGGTTTGTGTGTGTGTTTTTGTGCCCTGCTGTACATTTTCTGCCGTTTTGTGTACCTGTATCTCTCACCATTAATTACATGGCTGACTAAATAGTTGATGTGATGATATATTGACCAGATTGAAGGCATCTAATAATTTACATAACAAATGGATGACATGTGTGGTATTATATATACTATCAATATATATCCGTCTTTTACCATTACAATGGATATATCTCATAAAATTTATCATATTAACATGCATGTATATATCCGTCCGTGCACACTATCTGTATTTACCAGTGAACAAAGATGTAACGTAAGAAAAATGTTGTTATCATTTAGGTATTTTATTGATTTCTTAAAATCAAATTTTCTATAGGGAATTCGTGAAGAGAACACCCTAATGGCCTATAAAGGAATAGTGAGTGACATTGTGAATGTAAATGAACTTGAAAGTTAAGCTAAAAGTCAAGGTAAAATGGACAAAATTAACTCTAAGTTTGTAGCAGTGTTGCATATGTGAGTTTGACATATGGTACATATATAAGAGATTCGCTGGTTTTTGTTGATTTAATTAACTCTTGAACAGCATGCAAAGAGACCACAAGGACGGCTAATGTAAAACATATTCAATATGTAATATGTTTTGTATATGTTTTGATGACAGACATTTGTGTCTTTGTCCTAATCCATGTTTTTTTGGATAATTTATAAGAGATGCTGCTTGTCTTCAATTATAAAGTATATATCAATGATCAATAGTAGAAAAAAGAATAAATAGTTTTATGTAAAAACGATAGTTTGATTATTTTCTTTTTTCAAGCAGGAGATCCTTTAAATCGTCTTTGGAAACGAATGATTTGAGTTACACAATGAAAAAAAATGTATCAAGTGATTGCCCGATATCCATTGACACTAGTGAGGTACGACAACAGCAAGAACTTTATTTTAAAGTGGGAATATAAAGGAATTACTTATATATGGAGAAGAATAAAAATATCACGTATATAGTTTATGTATTGTTTTCTGCAGGCGGATGATGAGCATGAGGTAACCCTAAGTTTGTCGAAAAAGATTAAGAAGTTAGAAAATAATCGAAGTTATTCGTCATCAGAAAGGTTGCTTAACCTTGAGTTCACCCTTGGACGGCCATGCCGGCAGTTGGACCAGATCTTTTGAATGATAATGGACGATGAACTACCCCTTTCATTTATCATATCATTCCACTAGTAAATTAGTAATAATCGCATCTGAATATGTCTGATCCTATTAATTTTTGAATCTAATTAAATCATTATTAAATGGGTGGTGATATTGCCACTGCAACTTTTAATCCTTCCAAAATGTGAATCGACAACTATGCCCTTATTTTATTAAAAGAAAGCAATCCTATTTTTGTTTCACAAAACGATCTGGCAAGTAATTGATATTATAAAGAATTTTTCAATTAAATAAATTATACTCGTATATATTTGAAAGCATCGTCTTTGTATTCCCATCATGAGCTCACATCCTAATTCCCAACTACCGTCATTCTTCTGGTGTTTTTTTTTTGTTTTTTTTAACGGCAACCTTTAATTAAAATTAGCAAAAAGCTAGGAAAAGAAACACATTGGTGTTGTTGTCTTCAACACTTCAAGTTGCCCTAAAAAAAAAAGAACCATCACCCGCCATGGCTATGTTAACTAAAGCTTCTAATGAGGATACTGGATTCGTTTAAAAACTTTAAATGAATATGTTGAAAGCCATAGCCAATGTCAACTTTCAGCTACTATATGTACTGATGGTGTTGGCTGTAGAAGAATCAGCTGAAGGAGGAAGAAGCATGCTCACATCCCATCTCGAAGTCCACTTTATATCACTCAAAACAAAGAACTAGTAAGTGTACATCACTAACAGGTTCACAGCCATGACGACAGAAGCATGCTCACATTTGATTGATTTTGAGTATTTCCCATATGGTTTAATATTTTATAATAACCAATTCACTAACTGACATAGTAAACGTAATTAACTTTGATTATGATGGGATAACCAATAACCAATTTATCGTAGATAGTATCAACCTCTTTTGAGTTTCCGATTCATCTGTGTGATCTATCTTTTAACTTTGATTATGATACGAATTTCTACTTTTACAAATGATTGAATACCCACATCATATTTATGACTTACGAGGGAAACAACCAGGCCAAGATCATGGGGTTTTTCAAAAAAAAAGATTGGTATTTCTCTCTTTTAAATAAATAGGGGCATAATTGATAATTTATATTTTTTCCAGTGGAAATATCAAAAATTAAAGTGGCAATATCAGCTCCCTTATTACATCCATTTCTTATTTTTTGAGACGGATTAGTCGTTTCATATAGTGTAACACTTCCTCGTTTAGACGCTTTTTTTTTCAAAATAAAAGTGCTATCTTATCAAAACCAGTCAATGACCACCTCCGTTTAACATAATCCAAAAAAAAAGTAAAAATATAGCTTATTCTAATGTCTATGTATGTCGTGATTAAGAGGATATCTATATCTATACTATATTATAATGCATATTCATCATATTTTGAATTTTAAGAGGTATAAGTAGGAATGAGTATCGGAACCGGCCTCGTTTTACCCGCCCTTGGGCCTAATAATGCCACCACGTGCTTTCATGTCATTCATTGAAGAACCATCTTTGCTCAACTTCAAAATACCAAGAGAGAGAAAATGTGTTCAATCGGGAACATTTGAAAACAAATTTAGACAATTTATTTAAAACAATATTATTTATTTCTTTATTAATTTATATATTATTTACTAATTTTATTATATAAAAAATAAAAAAGGTAGACCACCTACCCCACCCTACCCCTACGTTATATTTTTATTTTTTATAATATTACATCTTAATTAAAGCTGAACTATCAAGACTGTCGAACCACCACCTACCGTCGTTGGACCGCCACTCGTCGTCGTCGGAGTGTTACCGCATGCATCGAATATTCGTGAAATGTCGCTACGAACCACCTCTAATCATCTATTCTCTTCGTAAACCAGCTCCCTCTTTCGCTCATCTTCTTCCACCGGAAAGGTACCCCGCTGGAAACTACCTTGTCGGAAATCACCTCCTTCTCATCTCCTATCCGGTCTCGTTTTCATCACCGGATCTGGTTTCATCCACCATTACGAGTCACCGGATCTGGATTTGAAGTTGAAGGCCACCAGATCTGGTTTCCTATCTCCACAAAACATCATCCTTATTCCATTTCATTTCACAATCTAATGTAACATCCCAAAATCACGATACAAATTTTCATTTTTTTTAAAAAATCATTGTTTTCAAACAAAACCAAGTATAAAATACAAATATCCCCAAGATCAGTATAACATAAATCCAAAACATGTCATCGAAGGGTGTGTACGATCAGGCTTTCGCCTTGCTACGGTCATTTGAATTACCTGAAACAATAAACAGAAACTGTAAGCCAAAGCTTAGTGAATTCCCCCAAAGTACCACATACAACATATATAACATGTGCAATCATGCATGCTAGGTCCAATCAGTCACCAGACTGGAATACCTTTAGGTCCACAGCCATCGTGTTGGATTACCCCCGGCCCAATCAGTCATCCGACTGGAATGCCACTATACAACGAGTCCAATCAGTCATCGGACTGGCATACCCTCGGGTCCACAGCCAGCGGACTGGATTACCCCCGGTCTGTTGGCTCACGCACATAACAGTAAAATCTCAACCCCAAGTCATACTATGTCGACATATGCAATAGATAAACATATAAACAATCAACAAGCAACAGGCAGATCTACAGATCACTACCGCATATCACATCTTATATACCAGGAGACAGATCTAATAGATCACTATAGCATAACAACATCCTATATACCAGGATACAGATCTAACATATCACTACAACATAATAATATCCTGTATACTAGGGCACATAACCTAGTAGGCCGACAGTGGTGTCTTCGCCCCACAAGTATAATGAGGAAAACTCACATCTCAGTCTAAAAAGATAGCTAAATATGACACTGCTCTGAATATCAACTCTGCTGGTCACCTATACATTGAAAAATGACAAAACTCAACTACAATTCAAAATACCCAAAATACCCCTAGGTGAAACTTGGTCAAAATCTGGTCAAAGTCAAAAGTTAAAAAGTCAGCCGAGTTGACTCAGCTGAGTATACCCAGCCTACTCAGCTTGTACACTTAGCGTACTCAAGATCCATATTTGGGGCTCTCATCGTGTATGCATGACGTACGCCCATGTACGCCCAGCGTACACTGGTTGAATGAGTTCTTTCCTTTTAAGTGCTTATTTCATTAAGTCCCTTCGACCAAAAGCAGATATAGTCCCAAAATAACATCTTAAGTCATAAAGTTTCCAACTTTATGACTTTGCATGGCTAGGAAGTGCTTAATACTAAAAACCCTAACTTCTTAACTCATTAAGGGCAAAATAGTCTTTTTAGGTAAGACAAGGACCAAGCGCGCAACAAAAACAAACTGTAGGGACCTTTCGAGTTAAACAAATAAGTTAGGGATCAAACATGCAAATTATCCCAAACTATAGGGACCATTCATGTAATTTACTCAAAAACAATTAAAGATGTGGCTTTTCGTAAAAAAAGAAAAGAAAAAAAAAAACTAAAGTACACATATTGAGATTCTGTAACACCTCGGTTTTCAGGCATTTTCAAGTTCACCTCTTGGTTTTAAAGTATGTCATTATGGTCCTTGTTTTGGAAGGAAGTAGTCGCAAGAAGCCCTAGTGGCAAGATCATAATTTTAGAAGGAGTGGTACGCTGAGCGTACATGTGAGTATGCTAAGTGTACTAGGGTGTGCCCTAGTACGCTGGGCGTACTCATGTCCGAAAGAAACCCTAATTTTTAGGGTTTGAGGGGTATTTAAGCATCCTTAAGGTCATTTATCCCCACCTTTTCTGCCTACAAATCCTTAGAGCCGTTCTTGCAAAATCCTAACCCATTTGAGTGTGATTTTGAGCCCTAAAATGAGTTCTTGGTGTTTTAGAAGAAGGAAAGGTGCATCAAGAAGCTTGGAAGCTTGAAGCAAGGATTGGATCTGGAAGTTTGGCTTTTTCTCCATCATCTAAAGGTATAAGTTCATACCTTTATGGCTCATTTGATAGATCTCATGTTTGGGTCTTTTTATGCTTCTTTTTGGTCCCAACTGCTCCATCTTGAGCATGACATGTTCTGGATGTTTTGAGTCATCCTTTCAGACCCTTGGACGATCCTTGGTCATAAAAATGAGTTCCCAATTGCTAGAAGTGTCTCATACTTTTGGTAGAAGGGTCTTAATGGATTGAGACCTCGTATTAAGAGCTTTATGGATGTGTATGGTCATAAAGTTGGAGTCTTTATGACCATAGTATGTCTCTGGACCTTGGATCTGAAGTGTGAGCTTAAGTGCTGAAGCCATTAAGCACTTGTGAAGAAAATGAGACATGTGAGGGTACCCCCCTACGCAGCCTCATGTACGATGAGTGTTCATCGATGACATTTTGGTGTACTCGAGATCTAGGGAACAACACGAGGAGCATCTTTTCGAGATTCTTGGGAGTGTTGAGGATGGAGAGGCTTTATGCCAAATTCTCCAAGTGTGATTTCTGGCTACGAGAGGTCCAGTTTTTGGGACACCTCGTTAACCAGCATGGGATTTTGGTCGACCCAACCAATATTGAGGTAGTTATGTGATGGGAGGTGCCAAGATCCCTATCCGAGATCAGGAGTTTTCTGGGCCTGGCAGGCTATTATCGGAGGTTTATCAGAGATTTCTCTAAGATTGCCGCTCCTCTCACCAAATTGACCAAGAAGGGTGTTGTCTTTACTTGGGGGCCTGAGCAGCAAGCATCATTCGAGACTCTTCGCCAGAGATTGTGCGAATATCCAATGTTAGCTCTTCAGGAGGGAGTAGAGGACTTTGTAGTCTACTGTGATGCATCTATATATGGGATGGGTGTCGTGTTGATGCAGAGGGGGCACGTGATAGCATATGCGTCGAGGCAGCTGAAGCCTCACGAGACGAGGTATCCCACCCATGATTTGGAGTTGGGGGCGGTGGTATTCGCCCTCAAGATTTGGCGTCACTATCTCTATGGTGTCTGATGTACCATATACACGGACCATAAGAGCCTGAAGTACCTTATGGATCAGCCCAACCTGAATATGAGACAGAGGAGGTGGTTGGATGTAGTGAAAGACTGTGACTATGAGATTTTGTATCACCCTGGCAAGGCTAATGTGGTAGCTGATGCCCTGAGTCGTAGGGCAGCGAGTGCTCCGATCCGAGATGTGTGTATGAGGATAACGATGATGACGCTAGTCTTAGATACCATTCGAGAGGCCCAATTGGTGGCCATGAGACCAGAGAACCGTAAGAGAGAGCGGGTGATTGGGTAGATTTCTGAGTTTGAGACTGGTAGTCGGGGCTTATGACCTTTCGTGGGCGGATATGGGTGCCATATTCGGATGGAGCTCGACGGATTTTGATGGAGGAGGCCCATAGGACGAGATTCTCGATCCATCATGGGGCCACCAAGATGTATTTGGACTTGAAAAAGGATTATTGGTGGCCCTGTATGAAGAGAGATGTGGCATGGGTAGTCGAGAGGTGCTTGACCTATCGTCAGGTCAAAACAGAGCACCAGCGTCCCCATGGCCAGTTGCAGCCTTTGGAGATTCCCCTGTGGAAGTGGGAACAGATCTCCATGGATTTTATTACCAAGTTACTGAGGACTGCGCGAGGTGTCGATGCAATATGGGTGATTGTAGATCAGTTGATGAAGAGTGCTCACTTCCTGACTATAAGTAAGAGCTCTTATACGAAGAAATTGGCCGAGATCTACGTTCGCGAGGTGGTGGCACAGCATGGGGTGCCAACATCGATACTGTCAGATCGTGATGTGCATTTTACTTCCAGGTTTTGGAAGAAATTTCATGAGGAGTTGGGCACCCGACTGCATTTTAGCACCGCATACCACACACAGACAGACGGGCAGGGCGAGCGGACGATTCAGACGCTCAAGGACATGCTACGCGCATGTGTTATGGACTTCGGTGGGAGTTAGGACACCTACCTGCCCTTGGCTGAGTTTTCATACAACAACAGCCACCACTCCAGTATTGGGATGCCTCCCTTTGAGATTTTGTACGGGAGGAGGTGCCAGACTCCCATCTATTGGGGAGAGGTCGGGAAGAGAGTGATGGGGAGCACTGAGATAGTGCTCAAGTCGACAGAGGTTACTGATGGCCCAAAGTTGTTAGAAGAGTTACGCAGACCGGAGACGTTCCGAGCTAGAATTCCAGGTCGGCGATGTTGTCCTCCTGAAGGTATCCCCATGGAAAGGGGTGATCTGATTTAGGAAGCGGGGAAAGCTGGGCCCTAGATACATTGGTCCTTTCAGAGTGATTACTCGAGTAGGTAAGGTGGCTTATCGGTTAGAGCTTCTTGCAGAGTTGAGCTAGATCCATAACACATTCCATGTGTCCCAGCTGAGGAAGTGTGTAGGCGACGAGACGGCAGTGGTCCCTTCAGGTTGATGATCGCTTGAACTACATTGAGAATTCGGTGAAGATTTTGGATAAGAAGGTGAAGGTCTTGAGGAATAAAGAGGTGCCCTTGGTTCGGGTTCAGTGGCAGCATCGGAAGGGATCCGAGTGGACTTGGGAGCCGGAGTCCGAGATGTGTGAGCAGTACCTAGAGCTGTTTCTGGAGAATGACTTCGAGGGTGAAGTCTGATTCTAGTGGGGGAGAATTGTAACATCCCGACTCCCAGGCATAAAATTAAATTAATTTATATTCATTTTGACAGGGCAACTCGACGAGTTGGAGGCCCCAACTCGTCGAGTAGAAATTGAGATAGTCGCGCGGGTTTTAGAGTCAACTCGACGAGTTGGAGGACCCAACTCGACAAGTAGGAGCTAAGCGAGAAAACCCTAATTTTCAGGGTTTGCACCCTATTTAAAGGACCTTAAGTCCTTTACTTCGCCTCCCTTATCACCTTATCACCCCTGAGAGAAACCCTGATCGAGCTATCATCCACTGTGAGAGAGAGTGAGGCTAAGAGTGCATATTTTGGTGCATTCTTTGAAGGAGCTTGAGGAGTAAAAGGCTTGGAACAAGAAGGAGTCTTTGGATCCGGCATTCTTTCAGTGTT